CTGCTACGTCTACCCTAGCAACGGAGTCAAGAAACCGGCGAGTTCCCACGGGTTTACTTCCGGCTGTTGTTTATATAAGCTCGCAGTCTCTCCATTGAAATTCATTCTTCTCTAAGTTCCTGAACACACAACACCTCCTCCAAGCAAGCTCCTCGCTGTCCACCTCTCATTCAACCTGGAGGCCAGCAACATCCCCTCTAACGAAGCTCCTTCACATCTACCTCCTAAAACACGCTACTCACTGAACGCGTCTTCTGAGCAAGCTCCTCACCACACGGCATCTCCAGCACCAGACTGTCTTGTATATAATATATTTTATATAAAAAAACCACCACCTAGAGTTTCCATCCATCCATCCTGAGTTCTAGACAACATAATATCACGTAACCCTACAACGCCTGCCTCTCCTCTGGATACTTCCCTAAGATGTTCAAAATCGCCGTTATTTGCCTCATACTAAAAGCAGGGAAGCCTCCAAACAAAGTCGAAAACTTTCGACCAATATCGCTGATAGAGGTACCTGCCAAAATCTTCGAAAAAATAGTAAACAATCGATTGCGGATGTATCTGGAGGATGAAGGCGTGCATAATCCCCACCAGTTCGGCTTCTGCCAGTACCGAGGCACATCCACCGCCATAGCTCAGGTCTACGAGCAGATCGCCAATGCCATGACTGGCCGCCTGCAGTGCAACATAGTACTGAGGGATGTCAGCAAGGCGTTTGACAAAGTTTGGCACGCGGGGCTGCAGTATAAGATCATACAACTGGGGCTACCCGGACATCTGACGCGCCTGCTGTGCAACTTCATTACGGACCGCAGAGCCCAAATCAAGATGCAAGAACATTTTGGAGAAGAATTCTCACTATCGAGCGGCGTGCCTCAGGGCTCTTGTCTCTCACCAACCCTTTACACACTCTACACGGCTGACTTGCCACCCCCAATCGTCAGCAGCGAGTACGTCATGTATGTCGACGATGTAACACAGATCGTCACCTGCCCAGAAAAGTCCACGGCAAGGATGGCGCGACTCACTGCTCGGGCAATAAGGGTATCTCGGAGTATGAAAATAAATGGAAAATAAAAACAAACAAAACGAAATTCAAGGTCATGCCCATAGCCAAATTCAAGCTGGCGCCATTGATGATCGACGACGAAGAGATTGAGTACTCTAAACAAGGCAGGTTGCTCGGCCTCATCATCTCTTGAACGGGCATCATTCCTCACGCGAAGGACAGACTAAATAAAGCCAAAGTCGCCGCAGCCAAATTAAAACGTTTTAAACTGATGCCTGAGAAGATACAAGTTCACCTGTACAAGGTGCTTGTGAGGCCTGTGTTGGAGTACCCACATATGCCACTCGTCACACTCGGGAAGACTAGACTACAACAAGTACAGAGCTTCCAAAACAAGTGTTTGAGATCAGCCAGTGGCCAAGCGCCACCTTACCAGGCGACAGTGGAAACCATCCACCTAAGAAATAAAACAGAGGCACTCAACGTCAGGTTCCATCACCTAGGGAAGAAGGTTTGGGACAAGCTCCTGGACGACCCTCACAGCCCAGATCACCTACGCGGGGAAGTCATCAACGGAGGGTGACCCCACGCCTGGTGGCCACAGAGTCTGCCCGCACTACAACAACCCAACCCGCGACCCATCTATGTCCGCCACAGTGATCTACCTTAGATTAAAACTTAGATGATATAAATTCACATTTAACAAGTCACACTCTAGTGAGTCCATAACGTAATACAGTATAAGATTGTAATAAACTTGTAATTGTAAAATCAAACTAGTCATTGTCTACCAAAGTAACCATTGTGCAACCTCATCCTAAATTCTCGGTTAGCTTAGTTAGCCAACAAACTCTGTAATATGTAAAACAAGGGGTGTCGTCCCCCTCTGTTTAACTCATTAAACTTCTTTTCCAACCTATACCCCCACGACTATATGTTGTGACTTCTCTATCCCTCATGTCTGGGTGTGCCTTGAGCCCTAGCATGCCTTCCATCCATTCCCCACCTTAACAAAAAAAAAAAAAAAAAAAATCGTAGATAACTGGCCTTTATACTTGTATAATATGATAGTAAACATTTTTGGTACAAAGATAATTTCCTGTTTGACAGAAAACTAACAGTTATGGTGATATTTTTTCAAGATTTTTTTCCAATTCATCTGTACAGTGAGTTCATCAGTCATAACAAAATTATAATACCTAATACTGTACTTTGTTATATTCTACTGACTTCATCCACAGAACAGGCCACAGTTCTCTTTATTTACACTCACCCAACCCCAAGTCCATGAAAAACTTATAACTTTATTGTTAGATTTAATAAGGATAAAGAAAAAAGGAACAGATATTACACTCTATTCCTACGTTTTTATGGTTATTACAGGCTTTATGTACCTATATTCACTGTAAATGATCGTATTTCATTTCCAGAATTGACTTATAATCAAAGAGAATAAGAAAATGAGGTGCACCTAAGCTTGGGATTCAAGTTTTTTATGCTCGTAAATCGTGTAGCAAGAGTAAACGTTTAGTGCCACTGACAAGTGACAACGTTTTGAGGGTGCAATTATACCAACCCCCAAGTCTTCCGACAGTTGGTACACCTGACTACACTACGATGACGTAGTAACAACAAACAACAGTCGGGTACTACCATCATGCACCATGGCCCATCTTGAAAAATCACAAAATTTTTGCTCCATTGTATTACGACCGCCGGGATACCACAGCATGGTGTACACCACGGCTGATCTTGCAATTGGCCTAAAGTGTTATCTCAAAGTGTTATTCACAACACTTTCCTGGAGAGAATTCACAATATATTCTCTCAGATTGTACTTGTGTATATGCCTGCACATAGGCATTAAAACAGACAAGGCTAAGAAGTGTTTACATCAAGCCCTGCCACTTAAGAGTTCCAGAATATAATTCAAACAATTAGTGTAATTTCAAAACATCTATCACATTCTAACAACGTTTCTGCTGATTGTGAGTGGTGTGTTTGTTACAATGGTGGACGTATAGAGTGAGTGGTGTGTTTATTTCAATTGTGACCATGTAGAGTGAGTGGTGTGTTCCCTACAGTGCTGAACGTGTAGAGTGAGTGGTGTGTTTATTACAGTGTTGGATGAGTAGAGTAAATGGCGAGTTTATTATAGTGAGTTTTGTGTTTAATACAATGATGGACGCGTTGAGTGAAATTGGTGTACGTGTCGGGTGAGTGATGTGTTTATTTCAACGGTGGACAAATAGAGCGAGTGGTGTGTATTACAGTGGTAGAGGTGTAGAGTAAGCTGTAATTTTATTACAGTGGTGGTGGACGTGTAGCGTAAGGAGTGAGTTTATTTCAATAGTGGACCTTTAGAGTGATTGATGTGTTTATTACAGTGGTGGATGTGTAGAGTGAGCGAATTGTATATTACAGTGGCTGACGTGATGAGTGACTAGTGCGCTTCTTACAATGATGGAGTGGTAGACGTGTAGAGTGAGTGATGTGTTTATTACAATGGTAGGGTGGTAGACGTGTAGAGTGAGTGGTGTGTTTATTACAATGGTAGGGTGGTAGACGTGTAGGGTGAGTGGTGTGTTTATTACAATGGTAGGGTGGTAGATGTGTAGAGTGAGTGGTGTGTTTATTACAATGGTAGGGTGGTAGACGTGTAGAGTGAGTGGTGTGTTTATAACAGTGGTTGACGTGATGAGTGACTAGTGCGCTTCTTACAATGGTGGAATGGTAGACGTGTAGAGTGGTGTAGTTTATTATTACAATGGTAGGATGGTAGACGTAGGTGAGTGGTGTGTTTATTACAATGGTAGGTGGTAGATGTAGAGTGAGTGGTAGTTTTATTACAATGGTGGAATGGTAGACGTGTAGAGTGAGTGGTGTGTTTATTACAATGGTAGGGTGGTAGACGTGTAGAGTGAGTGGTGTGTTTATTACAATGGTAGGGTGGTTGACGTGATGAGTGACTAGTGCGCTTCTTACAATGGTGGAATGGTAGACGTGTAGAGTGAGTGGTGTGTTTATTACAATGGTAGGGTGGTAGACGTGTAGAGTGAGTGGTGTTTATTACAATGGTTGGTAGACGTGTACAATGGTAGGGTGGTAGACGTGTAGAGTGAGTGGTGTGTTTATTACAATGGTAGGGTGGTAGACGTGTAGAGTGAGTGGTGTGTTTATTACAATGGTAGGGTGGTTGACGTGATGAGTGACTAGTGCGCTTCTTACAATGGTGGAATGGTAGACGTGTAGAGTGAGTGGTGTGTTTATTACAATGGTAGGGTGGTAGACGTGTAGAGTGAGTGGTATGTTTATTACAATGGTAGGGTGGTAGACGTGTAGAGTGAGTGGTGTGTTTATTACAATGGTAGGGTGGTAGACGTGTAGAGTGAGTGGTGTGTTTATTACAATGGTAGAGTGGTAGACGTGTAGAGTGAGTGGTGTGTTTATTACAATGGTAGAGTGGTAGATGTGTAGAGTGAGTGGTGTGTTTATTTCAATGGTAGAGTGGTAGACGTGTAGAGTGAGTGGTGTGTTGATTACAATGGTAGAGTGGTAGACGTGTAGAGTGAGTGGTTATAATTGACGGTATCTCCTTCAGCAATGGACACTTTTAGTGGTTATTTGTCTCCTACAGTGATGGACTCCTTTAGTGAATAATGTGTCTCCCACAGTGATGGACTCCTTTAGTGAGTTATGTGTCTCCCACAGTGATAGACTCTTTCAGTGACTTATGTGTCTCCTACAGAGATAGACACTTTAAGTGAGTTACAGTGTGTGTCTCCTACAGTGATGGACTCCTTTAGTGAATAATGTGTCTCCCACAGTGATGGACTCCTTTAGTGAGTTATGTGTCTCCTACAGTGATGGACTCCTTTAGTGAGTTATGTGTCTCCCACAGTGATAGACTCTTTCAGTGACTTATGTGTCTCCTACAGAGATAGACACTTTAAGTGAGTTACAGTATGTGTCTCCTACAGTGGTGGACGTGTACAGTGAATGGTGTGGGCCGTGTTCCAGTATGACCGGGCACCTGCGACGCATCAAGCTTGAGCTGGGAGATGAGTATCTAACCCTCGCTATGGTACGAATTTTTCCTTTAATAATTAATCAGCCAGGCATTATTAAGTTTTCTTCTACTAATAGTCACTCAGTTCTTTCTTTATCAAAAGATGAATTGGCCAGACCTCTAAATATTTTTGATTCATCAATATATACTCAATTTCTCCTTTGCCAGTATTCAGTCAGCTCCTCCTTCATGAGTGGTAATCAATTCCTTCTTTGTTAGTCATAGCTTATATTCTCCTTCGTTGTTTCTCAATCAGCTCCTTCTACATAAGCAGTCTTTCTGCTCCTCCTTCATTTCGCGTTACCTGCTTCTTTTCCCTTAATAGTCACTTAAGGTCTCTGTAAACACCTTCTGGGCGTTTAAAGGTTAATCAGACTCTTCACGTTAAACTCGAACGTTATAATTAGGTCAAACCTGTTGAATACAATTTATTTTAGTATTTCAAATAAATCATACATAGGCAATCATACATAAATGTTTAATCCAATAAATATTTAAAAAACAATCATAGCTATGTAATTAGTCTAATCTTAACACTTACAATGAGTACTTAATTTGCCATATTTTTATGTTGTCACAATGATAAACGATGCAATGGACACAGTCTACCTGTGTACACAATAAGTACAAGTTAAACTTACGTGTTGAAAGTCTCAAGAGAATCGGGTTAGGTGTTGGCTCTATGATGGGGATAGCTACAGTGGCGGTGCCCTGCCCGGCGTCACTTGTCCAGCCCTGGCTGGCCAAATTTGCTGCGTCAAGCGTTTTATACACAAACAAGCTCCCCTTACACCACCCACCAGATCAGGCCTTTGATACTTAACTTTGTCACATTCTTGTGACTATGCTGGCCTCAGGCTGCTGATACTTAAATTTGTCACGTTCTTGTGACTATGCTGCCCTCAGGCTGGTGTTATTTAACTTTGTCACTTTCTTGTGACTATCGCTGCCCTCAGACTAGTAATACTTGTCAGCTCCTCAACTTTGCCACGTTATTGTGACTATGCTGGCCTTAGGCTGCTGATAATTAACTTTGTCATATTCTTGTGACTATGCTGCCCTCAGGCTGGTGGTATTTAACTTTGTTACTTTCTTGTGACTATCGCTGCCTCCAGGCTAGTAGTACTTGTCAACTCCTTCGGACAATTTTGGCCACGTGTGTTTGATTATTGGGCACTTACTTATGCCTCCAATACGGTGACCCTATGTCCAGGCTTTTCATCTGATGGGCACGTGCTTGTGCCTCGTCTTTCATTCATTTACTGGGGCACGTGCATGTGCCTTGTCTCACTCAATTATCAGGGCACGTCCGTGATCCTTGTCTCACTCAATTATCAGGGCACGTTCGTGTGCCTTGTATTTTACTCATTCATCAGGCCAAGTTTGTGTGCCTTGTAATTTACTTATTTATCTGAGCACGTTCGTGTGCCTTGTTTTTTACTCATTTATCAAGGCACGTTTGTGTGCCTTGTATTTTACTCGTTTATCAGGGCAAGTTTGTGTGCTTTGTATTTTACTTATTTATCAGGGAACGTTCGTGTGCCTTGTATTTAATTACTTATCAGGGCACGTTTGTGTGCCTCGTCTTATTGCTTTCGTTACAGTCGACCTGGCACTCACTTTGCCCACTCTAATAGTCGCACTTGATATCATTACAAACTTTACTTTGACAATTGGGTGATTTACAAAGCGAGATCACTTCAGTCAAATATGATTGCTAATTGTGTTCTGCACTTATGTCAGACAACAGTAATGACAATTGCTTTCATTCTCATATGCACTACACTGGGAGTGATTGAGCTCATTCGGACAAAATCATTTTCTTCACTAACAAGGTTTAAATATTATCGCCATGATCAATCTACAGGCGTTGCACAGTACTCCGTGACACTGGGTACACACGCGCGCGCACACACACACACAGCTACAGTGAGGTGTTGGTGAGCCGCACTAAGGTTGACCTTGGTAGAGCTTTCTCCCTCCTAGCCGCTGCTACACGGGCATATAAAGGTTAATCAGACTCTTCACGTTAAACACGAACGTTATAATTCGGTCAAACCTGTTGAACAGAATTCATTTTAGTATTTCAAATAGATGATACATAAATGTTTAATCCAATATATATTTGCCTAACAATCATAGCTATGTAATTAGTCTAATCTTAACACTAACAATGAGTACTTAATTTGCCATATTTTTATGTTGTCACAATGATAAATGATGCAATGGACACAGTCTACCTGTGTACACAATAAGTACAAGTTAAACTTACTTGTTGAAAGTCTCAAGAGAATCGGGTTAGGTGTTGGCTCTATGATGGGGATAGCTACAGTGGCTGTGCCCTGCTCGGCGTCACATATCCAGCCCTGGCTGGCCAAATTTGCTGCGTCAGGCGTTTTATACGCAAACGAGCTCCCCTTACACCACCCAACACCTCAACTTACTCTGGGTCTCTCCATCTTCACCATCTCAATACTCTATATACTGTATATTCATTACTGCTTGCTGTAACAGTCTCCTTCCTAAATCTTTAATAAGTTCCACATCTTCCGGTAACCATTCACGTTTCCTCTTATTCGTAATAAGTCTAGTAATCATCCAGTTCCTTTTCTGCTCTCGGTATCCATTCAGCTCTTCCTTTTGAGTAATCACACTGTAGTGACTTAGCTCCTCCGTTGTCATTATTCACTCAAGTCCCTTTCACTAATGTTCGTTCCATTCCCCATTCATTAGTAGATCTTCCTCTGTTAATGGGCTTTCAGCTTCATCTTCGCTTGCATCAGTATGAAGGTCTTCTGACGTTAGGGGCAGGGGTAGGAGTTCTTCCATTGAATTGAATTGAATTTGAATTGAAACAGTTTATTCAGCCAGAAAAACACAGATACAGAGTTGATAATAATCACAATATTAACATGGCTGAGCCTGGTGAAAACATGAGCTCTCTTTTAGGTACCTGATATATACTATACATTTATCTCATGGAAGTATTATGTAACATTTAGCATCATCTGGAATAGTACGATAGCATGGTGGTAATAAGAACATCTCATAATGTTACCACGCTTATCACTTCAATATTTATTAATTCTATATATTTATTATTTTTTTAGTTAATTTTTTAGTTAATTATTTATTTATATATACATAAATTTCAGTGGAATTTAAAACATAAGTATAATGGGGGAGCAGTACAACATGGGTTGTACAGTAATAAGGTTGAACAAGAGGACAAAGCTGTCAGGATTATGTCTAGTTGGCAATTTCTCCTCAGTTAGTTTTAACGTCTTTCGCAAACAAAAGTAGTTCAGTTCCACTTCACCATTAATTAATTTGATCCTTCTTCTCCGTTGTCACTGATTCTCCACAAACAAAAGTCACTCTATCGTCCGCAGTCACCTGGCTCCTCTTCAAAAACATAGTAATAAGCCTTTTTCATCAGCTGTCACGTTCTTCATTCTCTTTCAGAAAACACTGTCTGCCCCCAACAGTAATCACACAGTTCCTCCTTCATCAGTAATGACTCAGTTTTCCCTTCATCAGTTGTTATATAGTTTCCCCTTCATCAGTAGTTAACCAGTTCCTCCTTCATCAGTAGTGACTCAGTTCCTCCTTCATCAGTAGTGACTCAGTTCTCCCTCCATCAGTAGTGACTCAGTTCCCCCTTCATCAGTAGACACACAGTTCCTGCTTCATCAGTAGTGAATCAGTTTTCCCTTCATCAGTAGTTATATAGTTTCCCCTTCATCAGAAGTTAACCAATTCCTCCTTCATCAGTAGTGACTCAGTTCCTCCTTCATCAGTAGTGACTCAGTTCTCCCTCCATCAGTAGTGACTCAGTTCCCCCTTCATCAGTAGATACACAGTTCCTGCTTCATCAGTAGGCAATAATAGTTTACCTTTCATCAGGTTCATATCTCACCTTCATTAGCAGTGACTCAGTTTTCCTCATCAGTAGTCATGCAGGTTAAACCATCAGTAGTGACTCAGTTCCTTTTCATCAGTAGTGACTCAGTTCCTTCCTTCATCATAGTCACACAGTTCCCCCTTCATCAGTAGACACACAGTTCCCCTTCTTCAGCAGTGACTCAGTTTTCCCTTCATCAGTAGTGACTCAGTTCCCCTTTCATCAGTAGTGACTCAGTTCCTCCATCAGTAGTCACACAGTTCCCCGTTCATCAGTAGACACACAGTTCCCCCTTTCATCAGTAGTCATCAGTAGTCAATCAGTAGACACACAGTTCTTCATCAGTAGTCACACTTCATCAGTAGACAACAGTTTTATCAGTAGTGACTCAGCGCCCCTTTCATCAGTAGTGACTCAGTTCCTCCTTCATCAGTAGTACACAGTTAAACCTTTATCAGTAGTGACCAGCTCTCTTTCATCAGTAGTGACTCAGTCTCTTCATCAGTAGTCATCCCCCTTCATCAGTAGACACACAGTGTAGTCACACAGTCATCAGTAGTGACTCAGCTCCCCTTTCATCAGTAGTGACTCAGTTCCTCCTTCATCAGTAGCCACACAGTTAAACCTTTATCAGTAGTGACTCAGCTCCCCTTTCATCAGTAGTGACTCAGTTCCTCCTTCATCAGTAGTCACACAGTTAAACCTTCATCAGAAGTGACTCAGTTCCCCTTTCATCAGTAGTGACTCAGTTCCTCCTTCATCAGTAGTCACACAGTTCTCCGTTCATCAGTAGACACACAGTTCCCCCTTTCATCAGTAGTCACACAGTTCCCCGTTCATCAGTAGACACACAGTTCCCCCTTTCATCAGTAGTCACACAGTTCCTCCTTCATCAGTAGTCACACAGTTCCTCCTTCATCAGTAGTCACACAGTTTACGCTTCATCAGTAGTCACACAGTTTCCGCTTCATCAGTAGTCGCACAGTTTCCGCTTCATCAGTAGTCACGCAGTTTTCCCTTCATCAGTAGTCATACACTTCCCACTTCATCAGTAGTGACACAATTCCCCCTTTATCAGTTATGACTCAGCCTCCAATCCATCAGTTCCCCC